TTTTTTGTATTTTCTATATATATTAGAATTTCTCTTGGTCTTTTTAGGGCTTGTGACATGCAAGAGATTATTGTAATATTATCTCTGACTCATCTTTCATGTGATTGAAATGAAATCTAAGGCTCCTGATCATTTTCACAGCTGCTGTTTGAACTGTGGTCCGATCCAAGATGGCTGCCCTCTAGGCTCGTCAGCCAGCGTCCAATAAGGCGTCTGCGTATATCATGTCTATGATCCAGTCCACTTTATAGTTCCTGCTCTATATATTAATCTGGGGATTTAGGGTTTATGGCGGACGTTCAGACACAGTCAAAGATTTAATCCACACAGAAAGTGTTTTGGTTTGCGTTTGCACTTCCTGCTTTGACTAGGCAGAAACAACACAAAGCTAAAGTGTTGTGAGGTAAACTGAGGAGCCTCCTGTTCTATTAGAGTCCTAATGGTCTGTTTGGTTTATCTTAGAACAAGGAGCGGGGCCACAACACACCATCTGAAGAAGACATGAGCTCCTGCATGATCAACCAGGTCTGCCTGCCATCAGCATCACACCGTTAGCCACTTTATGTGCAGAAGGAACGTCTCTATCCTGTTTTTGTTTCTCTGCCTCAGGCCCCCGGCTGCCCAGACCTCAGCATCCTGTCCTTCACCGGAGCGTTTCATGGAAGAACGCTGGGTATGTTGAACTTTTTTCTGACATAAAACTCTGGATGTCTGGAAGGGACATTAATTTGAGGGTTGATAGGAATGGTAACCTGTTTTGGCTTCAACCGATTATTATGAAAACTGTTTTTTTCACTAAATATTAAAGTGTCATGATTCCAGACTGAATGTAACACAAGTGTCTGGAAACGGATCCCAGAGGATTTCTGACATTTGACCCGTATGATGGCTGATAATCAAGGCTTTAACTGTTTCTGTCTCATTCCAGGTTGCTTGGCAACAACTCACTCCAAAGTGATCCATAAGTTGGATGTGCCGTCGTTTGATTGGCCGATAGCTCCGTTTCCCAGACTCAAGTATCCTCTGGAGGAGTTCAGCAGAGAAAACGCTCAGGAGGAGGCTCGCTGTCTGGAGGAGGTGGGCGTGTTTGTCAGGACGTCTTTCCTATAATATACTGCATTCTGAGGACCGACTGCCCCTTTAGGGGCTTAGACCAAAACAGAGTTTCTGTTTAGATCAAGGTTAGACTATAAGAATGGATAGAAAATGAATGGAAAAAGTTCCTGTTAGTGCAGCAGGAGTTAAACGCATGTTAAAGGAAAAGAGTGGTCAGCAAGGAATAATCAATGGATCATTATATATACCTAAATCTAACACATTTGCATTGATTTACTAAATTTAGTGTTTATCAGTGAAGAAATAAAAGTAATTTTCATCACGATCACAAAGTCCAGGACCACCTCCCTCCTGCCATCTTCCAGCAGTGACGTCACGGTGCGGTAAGCCTAGCGCCATTCTCCCCGCTTTCCAAGCTAAATCAATGGGAACTACTAGACACATCTGCAATCAACAACAATTATTGAAGATTTCCAGAGGACTTCACCATTGNCCTCCAGTAAAGCACATTCAAATGGAAATTACTCTGAATTAAAAACACTGATCATTTATTGAACAGGATGGAATCATTTCAGATTTAAAGAACTTTCAGAAGTTTGAATTCTGAATATGAGCGACTTTTCCTTTAAATCAGACCAGTTTCACATAATCAAGTCTTTAAAGGCTGCAGCTATAGAAAACTATAAAACTTTTGATTTAATCTTTTTATTTACAAAGAGCAGAAAGCTCTAATATTATCAGTGTACTCCCATTAATGGAGATTCTCAAGGCAAAGCAATTTAAAATAATGTTAAAATTGTTGAACAGCAACAAAAAGTAAGGTAAGGTGCATTCAGTGACATGAAGGTAACAGAAATTATTATAAAGAGTAAAAATGAGTGCATAAAAAATGAAAGGAAATAAAGGGAAACAAAGTTTAAATCGGTTAACTTCAAACATTAAAATATTAGTACGATTATCTTCTGTGATTTGAACAGGTAAATAGGAGAATATGCCAAAAGAATAAGCTTATTTACGTTATAAAGCACCTGATGTCTTATAACGAGTGACTATTCAATTATATTATTTTTAGAGACAGCAGACTTGTCTCTTTACCTTCTAAAATGAAGAGTTTATCTTAAAAACTCAAATAGCTTATTTTAGATTGAGTTTTTGAGGGATTTAATCTGGAGCTGCAGGGTTGGTTCCTCTAACGGAAGCTGTTGGGACTGGGGGTGCTTCTCCAGGTGGAGGACCTGATCGTGAAGTGGAGGCAGAAGGGGAAGCCGGTGGCAGGAATCATCATTGAACCCATTCAGGCTGAAGGTGGAGATAACCACGCCTCCCCAGACTTCTTCAGAAGCCTGCGCAGCATCGCACGCAAGGTAAGATCTCCTGCTAATGAATGGGCGGGGCTTACAGGGGGATGCATCAACAGGAGGGGGGGGCTGTCTCTGTTTGGAAAAAGATCATCTTCATTAAGTAGGAGAATCCTAGATGAGCTGCATAGAAAAAAAAATATATTTCTCCCCATAAAACAAAGACTATCTCTGAAAAAAAGGCAGAAATTCTGTGTTTGGATTTTTTTCATGTTAGTTTTATTGAAGATTTAAAGGAATAGTACACCCAAAACATGATTAGCCTTCATTTTCTACTCACCCCCATGCTGAACAACACTCTGG